CAAAAGACCACGAGTCACAAAATGCTTACAGCATTTATAAATAACTCAAAGATGCAAAACACATATACTATCATATATGCAATATATAACTGACACAATGCCAATGCATGCAATAACATAAGAGTGAGGGCTCATAAACAATAAAACAAATTTCATAAATTCATTCAAGAAATACAGACATGCAATGCGTAAAAGAGCATCGATTTCATGCAAGTGATTTGAATATTCGAAACACAGTACTGATTGTGCTCCTACATGCTTGACTAAAGCGTGCAACTTACTCTACCAATTTAAAAATTAATATCTTAAAAAATCATGTTTTCGGAGCAAAGCAATAAATGAACCAAGTATATAGAATCTGCTTGATGGCTATATAATGTTTCTAGACAATCTTTATATGTTGAAGTTCATATAAGACGAGGAAGTAGATACAGTTTTGTCCATAAACTGTGTTGGAAGTTGACCCGCACAACATGTAGAGTAATCCAATTATAGCCTGATTTCCGAGTTAACTGATATTTGTTCTTCAAAATTTATTAACATAAGTTGATTGCAAAAACACTTGTTTTCCATTCAAATATTTGATCATACATATTATTGGAAGACATCATAATTATAAAATTATTGCCCAATTCTAAAGCCCTTGATTCTTCATTTTGTTCATCTGTTAAGTTGATATTCTTCGGTTTCCTTTGTTGGACGCTACTATATTTTGTTGTCATCTATAGATCTAACTAAGCATTTAAGGTATCAAATGTCTTTCCACATGCCTTTCGCCGAGCTCATTTGATCCACTTGAAGAACTTCCAGCCAGTACCTACACAAAAACAAAGATGGATATCAGATAGAATGCATGGATCAAATAGGTCAATCAACAGGAGCCAGAAAGCTGCAGAAGCTTTATTTTACCATGGCTTTCATATTCTCTGCTAGTACTGGAAGATTATAGCTGCTAATTTTTGCAATAAGGTTCTGATCTAAAAGTATGTTTGTAATTTTCAGATCATTTGCAAATAAGCCGGGTATAATACCCCCATGCAAAAACTGGATACCCTTTGCTACGCCAATGGCAGTAGATATCCTCTGCATCCATGTTAACTTATGTCCTTCCACTGAAAAAAAATTGTATAATTTGAATAGGTTAAGATTATAATCAGGGAGAACATAATTGTCTAACAAAAAATGACATTGGAGATTTTTAAGGCCAAGTTTCCCTCATACCTGATATATTGCTTCTCAATGTTCCATTTGTCACATATTCAAAAATGAGAAATAATCTGCTGACACTGGAATCATCAGGGTGATACTCAAAGCAGTGACCAAGGGCACTCACTAAATGATGATACCTAAGCTTGGAAATTAGTTCAATGTGGTGATTGAAGTTCTGGGAATTCTGGCTCTTTTTCAGCTTTAGGCATCTTATTGCCAAAAGGGAGCCATCTTTGAGTTTTCCTCTGTATAACTGATGTCACATAAAAAGGGTTGTCAAACAAATTGTAGGACGAATCAGAAGGTTCATAGAAAAATACATGAAAACAATAGTCGAATGAACCTAAATTTTCTGTCACAATCATTTATACCAAGTGAAAGAAGCATTGCAATTCAGCATCCATACGTTTAGTTGATATTTTTTTCTTTTGAATTTTAGTTGATGCCGATGATTTCATCGGTTAAATATGGATAGTCAATCTGGCTAACACGACTCGATTAGAAAGAATGGCTATCATACAATGTTAAAATTGTAAAAACAATTTGGTTGATTCATCAATGTTACATGGCTTCTGATACAAACATTTGGGTAGATCAGGATAAAAACAATCATAGAAATCTCAGAAGCAGAAAATTGTGTTTTAATTAACCCATTAAAACACATAACAAAAACATAAAAAAGAAATGTTAAGCAAGTAATCAACAAAGCAGCAATATAAGCAAGTAATCGACGAAGCACGAATAGGCAGACTGAAAAGTTGTTTGTGATACATTTAAAGTATAAAACATCTGAGCTAAAAAGCATATGTTTGAACATGATGCTAAGACTATGAGGTAACGGCATACCTGACCATGAGAACCTTTTCCCATTAAACTTGATGTTTCAAAGTTGTTTGTAGCAGCTTCAAGCTCCTCCAACGAAAATGATCTATAAGATGGTATGCCAAGTGCTCCCAGCTTCATTGTCTGATATATGTACCCTTTGAAAGAAGTACAAAATCAATATTATAAAGCAGAAAAATGAGTGGCATCAACATAGAATAAATGGAACAGATATGCAATGGCCTCATATATATTAAGACCAAATACTTGAAACTTAGTAATCGCACAAATTTAAGACATTACTATCCAGCTAAATCTCTTCTTTTTCTTTTCCTTTTTCTTTATTAGAGGCATGAGCAAACATAGGACTAAGTTTCATGGACTATAACACCACACCACTGTACAGAAACAACTAGCAATACAACTCGACTAAGTTAACAACATATGTGCAGTCTATAACAGAATAAATAGAGGGAGGGAGGCAGGGATGGAGGGTATACTTGCATCAGCCAGCAACTTGGGAGGATAGCCATTTGAAGCATGCTCTACTATTCTTCTTGGAGGTTTCTTCATTGCCCTCTTGATATTTATTCTTCTAAGCACAGAAAATACTGCAAGACCGACCAAGGAAACACTTACAACAATTCCTCCGGCTGCACCTACCGCCATAGCTGTTCTTCCACCTGATACTCTCATTTCTTTATGAGGCAGTATTCCCGCAGCTAAAGCCTGAGTCTGGCAAAATGAGGATGGGTGCTGACTATGATCTTTGATTCTCAAGCAATTTGAGGAGTACAGAAACACCTTGTTCTTAGAATCTGAAGTCAGGCATGTCGGCAATTTCCCAGACAGAAGATTTGAAGACAAGTCCACAAACATGAGATCATCATTGCATGTCATGTTTCGGAAAAGCATTCCAGTGAATCTGTTTCCAGCAATATTTAGGTATCGAATAGAAGGGAGAGACAACAATGACGGCAGAAACGGCCCGACGAATCTATTGAAAGAGACATCCAACTGTTCAAGCAAATAATATGAGCTAAGCTTAGCTGGAAACCCACCACCAAACATATTTTTGCTCAACATGATTGATGCCACCTTCCTTCCCAAACGTGGAAAATTAGGTCCAAGATAGTTGTTCTCTAGATTAAGAACTTGGAGGTTAGTCAAACGGCTAAGATCAGGCAGATCTCCAGACAAACTGTTTGATGACAGCACAAGGACTCGAAGTGACTCCAGAACACTAAACGATTTTGGCAAAGGCCCACTGAAGGTATTGTTCCTTAAACTCAACACAGCCAACAGATGAAGTTTGCTTATAGCATCAGGAACACGGCCACTAAACATGTTATGATCAAGTATAAGAGTTTGGAGGTTATCCAAACTAAAAACTTGCTGAATAATTGCCCCATATAAGTAATTTGAGCTCATATTGACGATCTCTAAAGAAGACAAACGAGAAATCTTTGCTGGCAGGGGACCCCAAAGGCCTAGTGATGTCAAAGAAAGGACCTTCAAGTTTGGGAGCCGAGTGAGGGTAGTGAAGAAGGAATCGATCGAGAAACTCCTCGGAAGAGGCGGAGAGTTCTCACTACCGCTTATATGCAATTGGGTTATGCTGTCTTCATAACAAACGACTGTCAGATATGGATTTGGATCGGCATTACAGAAGTCTGTGTTGGTGCTCCAGTTGCTCAAGACAGATGGATAGTTTAGAAGTCGCTGGATTCTCAGCAGGGACCAAGCTTCTGATGATTGCAGCTCATTTGTGTTGGGTACAAGGACCAAAACCACGAATAGAGTGAGCAGACAAGCAATGTAGCTTCCTGGAGACATTGCCCAGAACAAAACTAGCAGCTGAAGCACAATAATCTTTCTCAACAATATCCCTGCTTTCTGCACCAAAATACTGCAAGAGAACTATAAAAGAAAGTATTTGGAGCCTGCATCTTGTTCTATTAAGGACAAAGAAATGGAGCATACCTTCGTTCAGTATACCTCAAAAGTGTGTGTAGGAGAAACCGAGGATGAACGAATCAAAATCGCAACTTTTGAGTGCCTCAGTAAAACGGAGAATCGGTGCCACTCCAAGAATTAAATCAGCTCCAGTAGGATCAAAATGAAACAAAGTTCACTCTTTTTCTCCACATGAACTCCAAAACTCGCAACTTTACAGTCCCAAATCCCTTCGACCATCATTGCGTCCTCCAATCCAGATCCAAAAACGCCAACCTAGGGCAACAGAGAAGCCTTCCTCTACCTCCTCGGGTTCTCTCTCCATCACGGGTGAATTGGACGGCGAAAACGCCAAAAGATCTGGGGAAGCCGAGCTGGAAGTGGCCGGGAGCGGAAGGCGGGTGGCGACAAAACCCACCCTCCTTTTTCTCCCTACGAAGCGTGGCGGTCTCACGGACATGTCAGCTCATGCTCTCTCCCTTGCGGCTTTCACCACTGCCATTAGAGCGAAAGAGGTGATCCCCCCGGAGAGGCTTTCGCCCTTAGTTCTCTCGTAGGCGTCTCTCTCTCCCGCCCTCCTCGTGGCAGTGTCGATATTTTTATTGACGAAATTGCCCCAAATAAATAGTCGACAGGACACACGAGTGCACTCTTATCGGGTCGGATTCACCTGCCAGGCCAAGCAACCCATACTCGATCCGACAACCATCTCGGATTCGGGTTAATGATCTACATCCAAACACTGACAGCCACTCTGTCTTCTCCGACAAACGCATGAAACAGCAAAACATCACATGAGGATGAGACTGAGAAGCCCACCACGTTTGCAGAATGTGTGCAGCTGAAACTCGTCGAGTTTCTGCCATTAGAGTGATGATCTGTTATTCCCCACTGGGCTGAGACATGGGAGAAGATGGGCTTGAAGTTGCGGGGTTTGAATTGAAGTACTGCACTCACTGTCTTCCTGAAAGAAACAGAAGAACAAGAACTTTGACTGCCGGTAACTGCAGGCATATGGTGTTCATGTTTGATTGATGGTAAGAGCCATAGTTGAGAAGTCGCCCTCTTAAGTTCAGAAGGACAGTAATTAATGAATTCCGGACGATGTGAAATCTTTCTTTCTCATTTTGGATTTACTTCTCAGCATCAACCTCAACATTTTCAACAATTAAAGAATTCTATTGAGGAAAAAAGAAGAAGAAGAATTTAGTTTGATAAGATGAGCTGCAAATTGTAAAGCACACCAAAAATACAATGGAGAAGATAAGTTCATGATCATCTTCCACTTCACCCTCCATTATATAACTATGGAATGCTAGAAAAGTAGAACTAGTTTATTATTTTGCTCCTCAGATTTCAAGATCTGAGGTGAAATGTCAGTGTTGGATATCCTGTTATAGCTTCCTTGGAGTGCATGCCAAGAATTGGATTCTACTTTGTTGGTTGCTAACTATTCTTAGAGCCTTTACAGACAAGAAGGATCTTATTGGAACTTTTTCCATGGTGGCTTTCAGTTTGTTTGGCTTTGCAAAACCCTCATCCTAAGAGGTTGATACCTCTTACTGCAGACACCCATCACTGGTGGCTCTCAATCTTTTTAGCCTTGTATAACTCTAATCATAAGAGACATCAGAATGCAGACAACTATCACAGAGATATTGTAGCAACATAATTGTGTCCTCATGACTGTTGGCTTTCAGCTTGATTGGCTTTAACAGAACCCTAACCCTTAAAGATATCAAAGAAAGAGATTGGACATTGTCATCAACACAGAAGGGGCCACAACAAAGTGGAGAGCACAAACTTCAGATAAAAAAACTCCATAAATGATGAACTCTGAGAGCTAATCCAAAAGACAATGCAGACTCTCCATCATGTGATGCTTCTCTTTCCCTCGACTGGCCTGAGCTGGAGAATCACATTTTTCTTATTATATTCTCAATTAATTTTGGTCAGTAGCATTTTAGCACACTTCAGTTATATTGTGATATGATAAAATGCAGAGAACACATAAGTATACACTAAGACTGCATACTAATCTATAACTATATTTTGTTTTTAATGACCATTTGCTGAATCAATATTGAATAATTAAATATGAAAGATTCAAAAAAAAAAAAAAACCTTTTTAACTCCTGTAAATCTTTCTAAAAGCTTGAACTGATAGATGAGATAGGACTCAAATCATTTGTATTCCAGCACAAGAATTAGAACTTTTGCAGGTGAGATCCCCAACTTCAAACATCATTATGAGGAGCAATCATAAGCAACAACTCAAAAGTTTTGATCATATTGCAGCATCATTATCTACACAAGCAGCTATCAATTGGAAGAAATGATCATTCATGCATCTCAAGCTTCTTCTGTGGAGAAAGCAGAAAAGAAGAGCATGTCCAAAGTAATAATAGCAAGTGAGAGACATGTCCCAGTGAGAGGTGGGCCATCATCTGATGGTTGAGTTCTATCCAACAAAAGAACATAACAAGTTGAAATACCAGTCCAAATCAGATGTGATGTTGTTTGATTCTGAAAAGTATAACCTCTTGTTGTCAAGTGTGACACAGCAATTCCTTCAGACAAGGAAGAAAGAAAGATACAGCTATTGTCAGACTCATTTGTACAACAGTTTAAAGCACATAACATCTAAAGAATCCAAGATTGATTATGAAACAAAATCATATGTACATGTAGGCCATATATGAGTATTTTTTTTTTCCAGTATGATTATAAATGTTTATTATGCCAACTATGTTTGAGAAATTGAAGAAAAAAGAATATATATTCAAAAGAGACAGATGCATTGTTTAGTATGACTGCAGCTTACTTAGTCTTGGATTTGATGGAGTAAAAATGATCATGCCAGCATTTTTATAATTATTATACCACTTTGAATATTGAAAAAGTATTTTTTTTTAAATGATGAATAATAAAATCGGACACTAATACAAGCAGAAAAAAAATAATTTATTTAAATATGGATTGTATCTAATATATTAAAGATCATATCATAGTGTCTAGATTTTGGATATTGTGACCTCCTCATCTTAAATCTTAAAAAAAACAATCTAAAAGCTTAAATATGTAGATGAGATATGATCTGATTTATATTCTTACCATAACACAAAGGATGAAACTTTTTTATGTTGATAAACAATATATAATACTAAAACTTCAAAATTCTTTTCATATCAAGTAGCTGTCCAATGATCACTTTCAAGTATCATTCATGATTGGCCCATTTACATTTACATATTAAAGTTGTGACCAGTGGATCAAAAGAAAATCTCTTGAAGATAAAGCAGAAGATTTAGGAAAAGTGCCCATCCAGATATTAATTAATTTTTAGTATCATGTACAAATTTATGCCACAACATAAATCTCTTTGATGATGATATCATAATTTAATTGACTTTGGGAGTGGGATCCTTTTAAGTAGGATCACATTGTCATTTCACTAGGAAACATATGTATCCAAAGAAGATTCATTCATTGTTTGATTTATTTTGAGATTTGTTTTAATCCCCCTTGGGTTGCTTAAACATCTATCCATTGATCATTTTTGGCTGATGTAGTTGGTTCTGATGCCTCGGTATCTTTCACAGGATATATTCCTATCTACCCATCCCAATCCCAATCCCAGTACGCAACTTAAGTTACGACTTTAGCTATGATTCATGTGGATTTTATTTCGATTTACTTGAATAGTTATTATTCTTTTGAACTAATCTTAAATCTAATAAGAAAATATCTGAATTCGATTCGGGTAAACCCGTAATATCTTTATGCGTGCTGTTCTTCGCACATAATTTTTATAAATAAAAAGGAGGATTAATTATATATTACCCATTATAATTAGATATATTTAGTATTGATTTCTTTATTTTTAAAAGTTATATTGAGATCTACACTTAAACATCTAATCTTTTTTTTTTCATGAGAATACGATATGTATTCGATGATAAATGATAGTCAGTATGTGCTAAATGGTAAATCCTACGATATTTCTATTAGTAAAATTAATAATATAAAAAATAAAAAATATTTTATTTTATTTTAATAAATATTTAAAAAAATTAATATAGTTTTTTTAAAAAAATATAATAATTAAGATACTAAATATATTTAATTAATTATGAATTGTGATTAGGCTTACAAAACAGTGGCCCGGGCCGAAAGGTGTATAGCACCTCCAACGATCTTCGTATCGTTGGTTGTGGCGTAAGTTGTTCCTTCAGCTTTATCCCTTCGTTGTTTATCGACTTCATCCGACGTCAGCATTCCCGACCGGGCGTGTGTACGATTGCCTACCATCGCGTTCGGAGTCGCTTCCCAAAACCCCCAACAAAGACGAGACCGCTTCCGCCCCCCCTTCCTTTCTGCTCCTCTGTTGATCGAATCCATCGATAAGAGGCGGAGGAATCCAACGAAGAACTCGATCTCCGATTCCGATTCGCTTCTGCTTCCTCAGTTTTCGTCGAGAAAGATCGTGCCTTTGTGATCGCATGCTCGCCCCCGGTCCATCATGGATCTCGAGACCCTACTTGTACCAGACGCCGCCGCTTATACCCGTCTCTGCCCCTGCGCCTGCCCCTTCTGCTGCCGGTCCCCTTCTCCCTCCTGGCGTCGCTCCATAAAGCGCCGACTTGACCCAGAGGCGTCCGCCGATTGCGCCGCCCCTTCTCCGGCCGGCGGCGATGTCGCCGCCAGGGTGGAGGTCGAGAACGAGGTGGCCGCCCTCAGGGAGGCCGTGGCGAGCCAGCAGCAGTCGATCCAGGAGCTGCTCGCGGAGCTCGACGAGGAGCGCAACGCCGCCGCCTCCGCCGCTAGCGAGGCCATGTCCATGATCCTCCGTCTCCAGCGCGAGAAGGCCGAGGCCCAGATGGAGGCCCGCCAGTTCAAGCGCTTCGCCGAGGAGAAGATGCACCACGATCAGCAGGAGATTCTTGCCCTCGAAGATCTCCTCTTCAAGCGCGAGGAGGCCGTCCAATTTCTCACCTTCCGGCTGCAGGCCTATGCGCACCGCCTTCTCAGCTACGGCATCGACCCCAATGCCGTTGGTGCCGATCTTGCCCCTGCCTCCACCAGTGGTGCGAAAGACGACGCTTGGACTCCTCAATTGGACGAGTTCCCAACCTTTGATTACCCTCGTCTCAAGTGCACCCTGCCCTATGATGTCGAACACGAAGAGGACCATTATGATGAGGCTCCTCATCTCGAAAAGTATGCTTCTGTGGAGACACCGCAGGCCAAAGAAGACCTCGAGGATTTGGAGCAGCGTATATGCCAGCTCGAAGCCTATCCAGACGACATCAGTCTGATGGAAAAGGGTGTCATCGAGGAATCGCCACGGCCCCTCAGCGATTCCAGGCATTCGCTTGCTGATAGCCATGGCTCTGTGTCGGCCAAGAATTTGCCAGGGCTCACAAAAGGCGAGGAGTTTCCTGCCTCAGCGGACAAACCATTGGACGATGGGAGTGGCTTTGATGACATGGCCGATAGGGTGTACACCATAGATGCCGTA